TATCTCAATGCGCTTTTACAATATGACCAGTGGAGGACTTTACAATCATGAATATGAATTGTTAGTAGATTAGTATTATGCCTCCACATTGGGATAGGCTGTTGAACCGGGAGACAATCCCCTACTCTTACACGAATAATTCAACAGGTTCTTTTATGTCCCCCATTTTACTGCAGGTTAGGAAGGGTTGGGAGACAGGGCCCTACGGTTTTAAGTCGTCCGAGAAGATTTGAAAGTCTAACCATTTGCAGATATAATTACAAAGGCAGCACCTATGGTGAAAATATGTGTTACCCGACATGTAGTACTTTAGTCTGTCATCAGGCTTGTTCGTCAGTACTTTGTCTGCTGCCTTTCTCAGTACTATTTGCATTCTTTCAAACGCTGCCCACCATTTGCCGGACGCCTGTTTTCGTAGTTCTGGGTTACCATAGTTACGGTAGTCTGGAAGCACAGATGTGATTGGCTGAAGAAGATATTCCGGGGGTACGGTGTTATCATCGCGAGCAAACCATAGTTTTAATAGCTCAATGTCGTCCTGATCGTCGACAGCTCTTAGCAGAATCTCGAATTCAGAAGCAAGAATTTTAGGCGGAAATGGACGGTAGCCATACTTTTGACCCAGAAATGTCTATATTACCAAACAATAAAGTCATGAAATTATACAATCATAAAACAATCACAGTCAATAACTACTACTGGTGATACTCACGATAAAGTTAGGTCCAGTAGATAGCTTCTGACATGCGCGTATCTCCTTCATACAGAGTTCTGATGTAAGGTGATCATCAGTGGACTCGTCTCGTACTCCCCATCTCATATCCACCACCTGAAACTCGTATCCTCGCTCCTGACAGAACTTCTTGATACGAGGATAGACCTGTACCATCAGCGTGTTTCGCTCTATGGATGTGTCTGGAATAGAGACAGTGCAAGATCTTCAAACTGAAAAAACCTTCAAATGTTTTATCGATACCCTAAAACGACCTCTTAATCGGAAAACAAGAGTTATAAAATAACGGTTATTTTACAGAATTATTGTATGAATAATTGAGGTCTAAATTCCAACATTAATAATAAGTTATATTAATCATTTCTATAGACAATCATCACCTGTGAATGTCGAACTAGTGAATATTCGCACCACCTTGACGTTTTCTGGAAACTCCATGTCTAAACCACCAACAAGAGCCTTCTGCATTTTCTCGCTGTAGTCTGTAAGATTACTAGCAGCACCACCTTCTTCACTTTCATTATCGTTGTCGTCTTCGCTTTCATCATTACCATCATCTTCTTTATCATCTTCATTCTCATCATCATCATCATCATCATCACCATCATCATCATCATCATCATCACCATCACCATCACCATCACCATCATCATCATCATCATCATCATCATCACCATCATCATCATCATCATCATCATCATCATCATTATCATCAACATCAACATCATCATCATAATCTTCTCCTTTTTCTTTTTCTTTTTCTTCTTCTTTTTCTTCTTTTTCTTCATCTTTAACTGCCTTCTTTTTCTTTTCTTCTTCATCATCGTTTCTTATGGCCTCCTCTTCACGACTATAATTTGTTGCCTTTATCTTGCCTTTCTTTTTTTTTCCATTTCTGAATAAAAGACGAATGGTATGTGTACCTGTTAGGTTGTGTAACGGTGTGGTAAGGTCTATAGTATGTGTACGTGGTAGGCTGTGTAACGGTGTGCTAAGGCCTATAGTATGTGTACCTGTTAGTAGGTTGTGTAACGGTGTGGTAAGGCCTATAGTATGTGTACCTGTTAGGTTGTGTAACGGTGTGGTAAGGCCTATAGTATGTGTACCTGTTAGGATGCGTCACGGTGTGGTAAGGTGTATCAATGCGTACCTGCTCAGCAGTCACCACTCTAAGCTTCTTTTTCTTGCTGCTTCCAGAGCCCATTCTTGATGATGTTCTCAATTTTTAAACGCGCTCTAGGTTATCAAATTAAGTTACTGATTCCTTGAACTGAACGATAAAAGAAAGGAAGAACAAATAAGAGAAAGGATGAAGAAAGGATGGGAGGAAGGAAGGAAAAAAGAAAGAAAGAAAGAAAGACTATTACTATGTCTCAGCTAATTTAGTTCGATAATGGCTGTCCTGCTCACTTATATTGATCAAGTGTGTTAATAAGAATCAGCCAGTCATACAAGCGTGGGCAGCTGAGTTTGCTCTAGATAAATTTGAACTCAATATTATTAAATATATGCACGAAAAAAGATGAAAATATTGTTTTTRGTGGCGGATCCAGGATTTTGAGGGGGGTTCCAACTGGCCGACACGCAGGAAAAGCTGGAACTTGACTTTATTTTCCACACATATTGACAAGTTTACATAATGATTTACAGAAAATAACTCTATCGGCTTCACAAAGGGATTTATAATTTCATTCTACTGAGCAAAAGGGGTCTGTTCCCGAACCCACGTAACCACCCTTGGATACCCTAATCATTTAATTTTCGCTCTGAATTCTCAAAATCTTATCAAAAATGAACTTCAGCTCATAACWTAACACTTTTTCCTAAATAATCGTATTCATTTTCAAAATGTTTGGCCGACTGGAATTATTGACTACTTTACATTGTTTCCATCATAATATATGATCGACCCCAAGAAGTTTAGTAAAAAAATAGTGATAATAGTAGAATATCCTGAATCTTCTGAATTAGTAATCCTGCGATATTTTTGGATATCAATCATAACTACTGTTCAGAACAAGAGCATAAATAAACCTGCATACAAAGCTGTGTGTTGATCTCAAATAAATGACGCTTGGTTTAGTAAGCGTTCGAGTCAAGCGTTCAGTCATGTTTATTGGAGAATCAAATGATGGTTTACAAATCAAACAAGAACAATGTCCAGCTGATCCGGCTTAAGTTAATTTTAAAAAATAATTTAGTGTAAAAGAAGTCTAAAAGTTCGCTTACCTGACGAAACGTTGCCTTGCCGAGGTTCGATTCGTACCTTGGTTTATCGAGGTGTGTCGTTTAGTATGTTACGATCGAGCGACTTATTTGTCTTGTCACGCATGCAAGTTTTCTCTTTAAGTGCATGACGTCAGTAGTAGTGTATGCACTCGTGTATTTAAATATTACTCTAACTGTGTTCAAAAACMAGTGCTAGAATTCTCATAAACCATGTGGATGCCATGTTTGTTTAGTTGTTGTTTTGTTCGAAAGTCACTGAAGATCAAATGAAGGGGTTAAGTGAAAGATGCGTGATAGCGTATACCTAAGATRACAGGTGTCCAGCCGAGCGTTCAGATACTTCAAAAAAAAATTAATGACGACCTGAATGAGTTGTAGCATGATAATAACAGGAATTATTAGGATTACCTGTTGGACTTTACTACTRTAGAACGATTTCACGAGTTGTTGAAACTCTATACGTTCAACTCAAATGAGATAAAAGTTGATTGGCCGGCTAGAGCGGATGCAATTTTAAACCGTGAAATAAAATCAAACTAAATACTAACTAATAGTTTCTATTTAGTGACTAATAGTCACTATTACTCAACCAGAACATTTATTGAACAAAAGACACAAATGGTCTCTTGTGTATTTGTCTTTGTATGATGAATGTGTTCTGGTTGAGTGATAGCGATCTTTAAAATCACTTATATGTGAAAATCAATGCTCCGAGGTAGATCATTTATATATATCAGAAAAAGAACAGGACCGAGTATCGTTCCTTGAGGAACACCAAAGGCCAGTTAACGACTTTTAGATAAGGTACCATTCACAAAACATTGTTGAGATCTATCAGTTAAGAAAGATGAAAACCAGTCCCTGGAATTAGCATCAAAACCATAATGTTCTGATTTTAACAATAATATTTCATGATCAACCGTGTCAAAAG